CCATATATCCTTGCGGAGCACGGTGAGTGAAACTGATGACGTCGGACCAGGGCTCTGGGACATTGGCCAAGTCCCCTACAGGCGCTCCATTCTGGATGCGCTCCCAGACTGCTCCAGGTTCACGTTTTCGAACGTAGACCGTCTTGGTCCAATCCCATTTCGTCATCCAGCCTGCTTGACTTCTGAAGTGTAAACTCCACCCCTGATCTTGATGTCCACGCGGATGCCATACCACTGCTGATCCTTGGGGGGCAGATCGCGGTTCACCAACCACAAAGTTCTGTCACGGTTGCTCCAATCCCTAGCTGCACCGGCCAGGACATGGAGGAGCTCAGGATCCACCTGATCACCCTTCGGCGCCCCATCGTTGGTCAAAAGAACCCACAACTCATCTTCCAAATCTGGACGCTGATCTTCATCGTACCTGGACTTGGACAAGAGCTGGGGTGGCGGACGATCTGGTGGTGGTGGTTGATCTGGAGTGTGCGGACTCACAGGCTTAGGCGGAGGTGGTGGAGTCTTCGGCATCGTAGGGGCTGTCTTCACTGTTGGCCTGGTCGAACGAACCGGACTCCTAGACCTTGTTGGCCTCTGACTGGGTTCTGACGTACCAGCTGACTTCCTCCTCCTCAATGGGCTACGGGACCGTGGATTGCGATTTGCAAGTGTCGTCACGGCATCTGTCAGCTTCTTGAGGGCTTGCAGAATCTCTTGGCTTCCGCTCGAAGTCTCTTTTGCTGGAATCTCTGGCTCTTCAACCTCAACCTCTCCTATCTCTTCTTCTTTCTTGTCATCAACCTTCTGTTCATCCAGCTTGGCATCGTCCTCATCGCTGTCACCATCATCAAAATCCGGAACTGGCCTCACAGGCGAGGTCACGGCAGTGCTCGGCATTGGCTTGCTCTTCCGAGATGTCACGGCGTCACTCGCCTTCGGCGGTCGTGAAGATGAAGATGGTCTCGAAAGAGGACAGGCCTTGGGTGGAAGTGAACAAGCTTTTGCACTGGTACTGCGAATAGCCTCTTCCCGCGTCGGCGGTGGTGCCGTTGAACGCTCACCGGATCGCCACGGCACGTGGTCGTCCGCATCACCTCGAACAGCCCTTGGAGTGTGAACATTCATTGTATGTGCTGGAGTCAATGTCACAGTTGTATCACCGAAAAGCGGCCCACAAAGAGTGCAACGTCCTCCGCACGACATCTCACACCATTCGGGCGAGTGAGAATGAATCACAACACACGTGAAGCCCTTCGAAACAAGGTGCCTGTGGATCAACATGCTTCCGCCCACAGGACGATGACGCCCTGACTTGCAGCGCACATCCAAAACTCCCTTGTCGTGGTGCTCCACAAAGGCGTCCACCTCACGAAAGATGCGGTCAAGACCTCTCTGATCCCTCCTGAGACCATTCAAAATGGCCGGATGCCTTCCTACGTGTCCACGCAACGAAGGATCTTGGTCGGGATCCCACAGCGACTTGGCGTTGATGTACTTCACGGGGATACCACTGCCAACATGCTGTGTCAACCTGTCTTCAAACCGGTCACCTCCAGTGACCAGCAAAAACTCACGGCTCTTCAAATTGCCAATGATGTTGTCAAGCGCACGATGGATACCTTCGGCAGTCTGGGCTTGATACCCTCGCTCTGCCGTATCCAATCTCTCCATCGGAGTATCGAAGGCTGTGAGGGCGACACGAAATTTGCGATGACACTTTGGAATCTTTTGGGGCATGGTGGCTTCGAGACTTTGGACCAATTGTTGAGTGGTGATTGCCAACATCATCAAACCGGTATGTATGCATCTGAACACATTGAGGCGTTTCCCATTGATGCTAATGATACCATTCTTGAGGTCCTTTTCCCAAATGTGCCTGAGCATGAAGAGACAAAAGCAGCGGAGATCGACCTTTCGACAGCTGGTGGGATTCGAGAACACCATGCACTGGATCTCCCTCGTCGAAGTGCAACGAAAAAGGCAGCGTTCGGGATCCTTCTGTAGCGGTCCCTTTTTTACCTAATCCGGCAAAGTTCTTCGACGTTGTGGTTGAGAAAGGAAAATCATACCCTAGCTTCTTCAGTTTGGCTTCAACGACGTCTCCCCAGTGCTTTGAGTGGCAGGTGGAATTACACCCCTCGTCGAGAACGACGTAGATGTTCCCGTCGTCTGGGCTGTACATGTCCCTGGCTTCGTGAAAGATGTGCACCAAACCATCTGTCATCTGGGTAGGTTCCTCCCCATGAAAACAAACACCGATCCCTGCGAAAGGGTCTGAATCTTCTGTGTAATCGATCATGGTGAATGAGTCTCCTTTGCTCTCTTCGATGGACAAGTGCAGCAGCTCGTGCAGCTTGGTCGAAGTCACCTCCTCCGTTTCGGCGGCCAACGTGACTTGGGCGGCGAATTCGGTCAGGATCTTCTCTAGCATTTCAGGGGTAAGTCCCTCTTGGGGATCTTCAACCAAACGTTCAATGATCGGGATCCTATCGAGCGGTGCACTTGCGACTTTCTCTGAGGCTGCTTTCCTGGTCTTCTGGAGTTCCATCGGAGTCTCATCCAAAAACGAACAACAAAGCTTGCAAAACACCCGGTGAACTGACCTGGAAGAACCTCGAAAATCTGTGTCTGAATGCAGGCAATCTTCATATGCAAACTTCGGGGCTTGTTCTCTGCGCTCAGTGGTGGAATTCCTACAGACAAGACATGTCTTCTTGATGGTATATGCAGTGCTCCCCTGTTTGGTGAACTCGGTACAATTCTTGCATTTCTCTTTCGGTGGATATGGTGGTTTCTTCCTTGAGCACCCTTTCGGAATAGGCTGCAATGACGAAGAAGAAGCACCACCAACCTTCCTGAAAACTGAAGCTCCCCTGTACTCAAAGTGCTGATCAACCCATGTGACGAAAGCCGAAGCGATTGGACTCTTACCATTCTTGATGGCCCGTTGGTGGTAATCGGGGTGCTCATGAAGAATCTGCCAAAAAGTCTTCCCCCTGAACTGACCAGCCAAAAACTTCCTATCGCTTCCCTCAGGCCTTGCGAGATCGTTGGGACTCACTGGTGCCTCCGGGCGAACTCCTGAGCTGGCCTTCACAGCCATGTGAGCAATGCTATCCTTTGGAGACGCTGCACCTAGGAAAATCCCTTCGTCTTCGGATGAGTCACTCATGTGAGCAATGTGAGCTGCAGGCTTCGGGGTCGATCCAGCCTTCGGGGCGTTTGGCATCTTACATTGGGGGTCTCCGGCCCAGTGACCTAATCCACCACAACGAAGGCACTTGGATTTCGCCTTGATCTCTGACAGTTTCTGGCGGCGTTGCTCGATGCTCAGGTGAGACTTCACTATCTTACCTTTACCTTTCCCCTTAGGCTTACCCTTGCCTTTGCCTTTGGCTTTTCCAAAAGCGACGAATGCGGCAAGTTGCAATTGGATGGCATCACCTGAGGAACGTTCTTCGGCATCTTCACAATCAACCACTGCGTTCAAGGCAATTGCTTCATATTCATCAACATCATCATGATACTCAAATTCATCGTATTCGGCATGGCTAGCATGTTCATGTTCTTCGGACTCTTCAATCCCTCCTAGCATGCCTACGAAAGAATCTTCTTCATGACAATGTTCTTGCAGGTCCTCATCTCTCCATTCGAAATTCTCTTCCCAATCGGGATAGATGGCATTGTAACCTGCACGAGGGTATTGGCTACCTTTACCCTTACCTTGATACCCCTTCTGGTATCCCTTGCCTTTACCTACCTGAGGTTGAATTCCCCGTCCTGTCCAGGATCGGGACCCTTCACGGAGGTGGATTCCACTATAGTTGTCTACCAAGACTCGTGCAGTGCCTTCAAAGTCATCGCTCTTGCGGCAAGCCTTTACCACGAGAATCTCCTGCCGGGAAATACCTGACATTTCCAACAATAGCTCTGTGCGGAAAGCTTCCGAGATCATCATCGTGGAATCAAGCTCAACCAACAAAGTCCACCAGCGTCGTCGACGCTGAGTGTACGACAACATGCTTTCAGTAGGCTGTCTTGACAGTGGACCTCCATGTTTCTGTCCTGCGCGAAAAAGCTCTTTACTCTCCTCCAAGGCACGAGGAAACACATGGTTGCGTATCACCTCAACAAGGCGCTCCAGTCCCCCTGGACGAGAAAGCGTCTCTAGGCCTAAATCTCTGGCTAGCAAAAAGGCATCACCTCTCAAACCTTCTACGATCTTGTTCACTAGGACACTACGATCGATGATGCTCGACTTGTCTGACTTAACGGACGAAGCTTTCGGTGATGTCGCACCAGCCTTCGGCTTGGGAGGACCGGCTGCTTCACGCGGCTCGGGCTCAAACTCCTCGGGATAATGACCTGGCGAGGGGAATGTGAATCCTTCATCCGACTCTGGTGGCCAAGACTCCCCTTCCTCAGCAGGTCCATCAGCAGAGTCCTGCTTCTTTGCTTGTTGCGTTTGGGCTTGGTCGTATAGCTTGATGCGGAGTTCGGTACGAAACTTCCAATCATGGAATGATGCAGGATCTCCCCAATAGATGTAGGACCCGCTCTTGGTTTCAAGGGGGTTGCCTACCCTGTCACCAGTGCTACCCGAATGAAACTTGAGTCCGGCAATGGACATGTTCGACGATTCCGACGGAGATCGCTCGGACGAGCAATCTATTCCGGGCTCTGTCCCCAACGGGATCAGAGGAGGCAAGCGAAAGCACGCAAGGAAAGCAAGCTTAGGCTCTATGTTCTACGATTCCAATGACCTGGATCAGTACGTGCCGGAGTCAGGCCGTCACCTGCTCCGCTACCAATGTCGGTAGCAACCGGAATCGTACTGTCCAGACGCTCTTTTCGGTTCGAATGCGAGCACGGTATAGCTCAAGGGCCCTAGGAGCCAAACGGCGGCAGACACAACATAGTGTGACAACCTGGCTCAACAGAATGTGATCCTACCTCAAATTCACACAGTGAATTAAAAGTATTTTAACCACCAACCGAGCAACTCTTGCGGAAACAATATGAACTCATCCACATCCAACAGCCCAACCCAGCTGTAGCCTGCCCTCCGAGCCATTTGGATGCATCGTTTCTCCAGTTCCGCGCGAAAACGATGCACATCCGTGATATTCTTGGCGGGGAAGTGTGTGACATTCACATGTGCCTTTCCTGAAGCCCAGTCGTTCAGCTCCAGCTGGTTGGCTAAATCAAAGACAAAGAAGTGATCAACTCCCAAAGCTTCGTGGAAATGCACCCATTCATCAATGTAAGCTTCAGCATCCAACGCCAGCAAGCAAAGTGCCACACGTGCCACGCGTGCGCGTGCCACACGCAGCTCGGACGAGACGACGGCGGCCGGACTCGGACGTGTTTTCTCTGCCAGGATGGAATTGACGGAAGCGTAGGAAAGCAGAAACAGCAACAGCACTGTGAAGATCAGCTTCACCAACAACTTCATGCCTCGAGTGTCCCATGGCTCAAATTCAAGTCGAACCCGGCGCCGGTGTGGCCCCTATATCTCAACCTATGTCACCAAGAACATATCCACCAAATCCAGAGATACCCTGGAAGTCATAGAGTATGTCAAAATGGTCTGACTAGTACCCGAGTTCAGGATGTTCCTTTAATTGGGTGTTGCCAAAAAAACGCAAGTCGAACTGGACTTCTAAGGGATATATACACAACTCTTTGGATCAGAACCTTTAAACTGATCGTAGTATATGTTGCATGAGAGATCACGAGAGCCTCTTGAGTATCGAAACGTCTCGTTGTTCCATCAGCCATCCTCCACGGCAATCCTCTTCAAAGGACTGCGAAGATAGCAAAGCGAGTTTGGGAGTGTTGCTGGCTGAAGGCATTACACCGAGCAGACTTCAAAGAAGAACTCATGACACGGTGGTGTCCTAAAATTGGGAGACCCCCAGTTGCCACTTCCTGGAATCCGGACCGATGCGGGGCTTTTTGGGAGGTCTCCCATGTACCCACTTCAGAGGTCTCCCCGTCCACCGTGTTTCATGGTGATGCCTCCGGCATCCCCGAAGGAAGGACTTGGGTGCGTCGTCACATCCAACGGCCCGGACAACCGCCCGAGCGCCCCCTCCGAGCGAAACACTGGTGACTGAGCTGCTGGGAGATTATGACGGACTGACGGTTTCAACTGGACGTCCGGGTCTGGACCCGATTCCTTCGCAAAACCCAGAGGTTTTCTGTCTGGGACTGCCATTTTGACCGATGTTTGTGGGGGTTGAAAAGGGGTGAATGCAAAGTGTCTTGTTCGATTTCCGGTGCAGGTCGTTGTTGGTGCTCGCTGGTGTACCGATCAGTGCCATTGGGAAAGCCTTCGAATGCCATAGGGGAAAGGTCCTGGTCTTTGGAGATCTTACTGTACATTCTTCGCGACTTGTTCCAATTTCCTGCTCCATGTACTTTCCCGCTAGGAGTCCTGTCGACGAAATAGGTTTAAAAGGGTCTTTCGATGACCCACCAGTTCCAGGAGTTTCCTGAACATATACAACCCGTGCTGCCCAATCGAATCGTTCGACAACTCACTGGACTTCCAGCAATGTCTGCTCTTGGACAATCCCCGTCAAATGCTTCGACGGACGGACTCTGAACCTCTTCGCAGGTCTGTCTCTTCGCAGCGTGCCAAAGACGTGAACCGCTTTTGGGGCGGATGGGGTCGAGCTGTTTCTTCGCACAAGTCGTTTGACTCCGAGGTGGAATCCTGATCCGATCCATGGTGGACGAACTGTGAGTTGCTTCTCCAAAAACGGAACGTTGACGATTCAACACGTGGAGGGATCACGGAGGATGCATCTTTTTAGACTAAGACCATAAGATACCTCTAGGCTTCCAACCACCATTAGTTTAATAGGCTTTGCTGAATCAACGAAGGGTTTTACACTACAAAAGCCAGGTGAACCATTGTTTTAATGGTCTTGGAAGTCTAGGGATACCATAAGACTGTTAGACTGTTAGAGGGTCCTAAAAGCCCGACTGAAATGGAGACGACGCAGGTGGTGACCTGGCAGTGAGGCTGACGTGCGATCGTCCGACGGCTTTCTGGGGGGGTTGTGGTCTGCTGCAAGGGCCGCGGTTTTGCTGCGAGGGTACAAAACAACCAGCTCCACCAGGACTCCACCATCCTTTTCATGGTCGACCGGAGGCTCTTCCCCTTCCCCTGGAAACCACACATGCTTCATGCTTCGAGTCTTTTCATGAACTTCCTTCCTTGCACCCAACCAAAACCCCACGCTGAACCCGACACTCACCGTGCACGATTCTGGTGTGGCTTCCGTGTCTCCCCTTCTTCTAATGGTCTTGGGCGGTTCCGAATCGGAAAACCCTCGTCCCACCGGTCCGCCATCCGCCGTCCGCGCCATCCGCACCTCATCGATATCCAGGTCCAGCTTGAAGACCGGCGTCAAGCTCGATGGATTCACCTGGGCCCGCCGTGTTCAGCTTCTCCGCGACGCGACGCGACGTGTGCACCGACGTGCACCGAGTGCGGACGGCCCGGGCAGACTGGGAGGACACGGAAGAGAGATGGGGGGAACTGAAGTGATTCCGACCCAGGTCCAGTCTCCTGGTGTATAGTATAGCTATTCCCTAGGCTTCCAACAACCATTAATTTAATAGGCTTTATGGAATCAACTAAGGATTTTACACTGCAAAAACCAGGTGAACCATTTTTTAAATGGTCTTGGAAGTCTAGGGTATTAGTGCTATATTTGGATGACCAAGTCCAAAATTTTTGTCAGGAACTCCTGACCCAGAACGGACCCAGAGAAGGCCAGGGGAGACGTTTCGTTGCCCAGAATAGCGACTTGGGAAGATCAGCACATGGCGCCGTGCTAGAAGAGCCAGGCGTTCCCTTTTATTGGAGGGTCCAAGTAAAGGTATAGAGACACCTGGGTTGGCATGGAGCCCGATAGATGCCTGGTGTTTCTTCACCTTGGCTTATTAATTGAAACACTGCCAAATCCTCCAGGTCTCCCTCGGTGGTCGCACTCCTGAGCCTGTTCCATAGGCAGTCCAACCCACTCCAGCAATTGCACGACTGCCCACTCCCAGCTTTACACGCCAACAACGCGTGCCGTGTGATGGCGCTGGGACCCCCCGTGCGATGCGCACGCAGGAACCCCACTTACCTTCGCCCGCTTTGAAGGTGCCCACCTGATGACTCGATGAGATCCGTGGAAAACGCCCGTTTTGAGATCCACCAATACTTCGAGTAGGGAGGACCAGGGGCTGTTGCTGTCGTGGCATTCATGTGGATTCGCACATCTGAGTAGGGAACCAGGGAGAAAACAGCTGTCCTTTCAACAGCGTCCGGCAGGGAAAATGGAGGGAACGAGAAAGGCACTGGAAGTTGAAGCACCCAGACGCTCCGTTCATAGGCCGACCGGTCCCGAACCAAACCGGATGTGAGGGTCCGGACGACCCCGGTCCCTGAACGGAGGGTCCCTGGTCGCGTCTGGGCAGTTGCAAAAGTTTCCAGCACACCCCACAGACCGATCGATCTTTTGGCACCCACCATGTCTGCCCTCCGGGTTCCGGCATGCAGCCCCTGAACCGGATGGACGCAAGCAGGGGGGGGGCTTGCGGCTCTAGTTCAGAGGCCAAAGCACTGGAGTTCAAGGAGTCCAAGTGCCTGGCAACGTCTGATGTTCGAACAAGAAAATGGGCCAAGACCGGATCACGAAGCACCCATGGCTTTCGGATCAGGATTTGACCCAGACGCGACCCTGGAGGTCCTATAGTAGAACATCACCCCAACCTTCGGCCCGACACTTCCGTCGACCCATTTTAAAGCACGACCTTTCAATCACCCCAAGCCAACCACCACCACCAAGCCAACCAGGGCCACATCCACCGCCACATCCACCACATCAACTCGCCTGTGCTTCGGGCAAATCTTCCTCATCGTCTTCCTCCTTGACGTCGTCCTCGTCGTCCACTGTCTTGGTGAGACCTGACACGACGAGCCGGTCGTCGGTGCGGGTCGGAGGGGACGGGGGGAGAACAGAGGTGATGCCCCCAATCCAAGGACACACCACTACCCAGACACTCCATGTACCCTAGAAGTCGAACCACCATTGTTTTAATGGCCTGAATCCCGAACAACCATTAAGGGTTTTGCACTACAAAACCAGAATCAACCATTTTCAAGATGGTCGACTTGACTTCCAGGGTGTCTGCCTATATATGCCCATGCACATTGTGGTGGTTTTGGAGGGTCAATGTAGGCATATATAGTCTCTGGGCTAGGGACGTTCCTGGAGCCTGATACCCCTGGCGGGGGCAGTTCGAGGTGTTCAGGACAGCCAGCCTAGCTTAGCGAACTCAGTCCGATCAGCGAGCACGAGCGACGCGGGGACTGACTTCGTGGACTCGTGGGGCCCAAAAAACGCCGTCCGTTCGACCGTCCGACGAACGGATGCAGGAAAGCTCGAGTCGTGAGGGTCGTGGAGAGGGTCGTGAGGGTCGGTGACCGGTATGTCGTGGCAAACACATGACCCACACGTCATCAGACGGTGGCGGCGAGACGTGGCCACTGATGATGGAAACAAAAGCCGACTCGGCTCATATGATGAAACATGATGAAACCGAACTCGCTGTGGCAACGAGAACGACTGCGACTTGGCTGCGAACTGTCGCTGACTGTATAGCTGACGGAACTAGCAGCAGCTATACCGTCCATCACTGAGGTCTTGGGCGAATCTTCTTCAGAGCTGCTCGGATCTCTCTTTTCGTCTCCTGACCACGACGTGCTGCACGGAAAACAGAAAAGACACTGACTGGGGCGGGTGCTTCGGCGTGCAGGTTGGTTTTAAAAAAATTAGACAGTTGGTGTCAGTCTGCCAGAGTCCCTCATTTTGAGAGTCCATTGCCAAAGCACCCATCAACACGAATAGGTCAGTCAATGAAATCTCAAATCTGGCTACAGCTTCTCCAAGCTTTCCCGAAAAACCTGTGAAGGGTTGCTGCAGCTCATCCGGAAAAGCCTGCAATCTGGTGGCAAAGGCGAAAAGTCCCTTTAAAACCAATGCCATTGCTGTGGTGGTCAAGGGTGTTTCTGTGGGCGGTGGGGCCAGGTGGGGTGGCAACATTTCAAGGCCTTCCATGCGGATGGCCTCTAGTGGCCTCTCTTCCCAATCTTCCCGAAGAGTCTTCCAGTTCTTTGTCCAACACGCGTTATCCTCGTTGTAGGCGTTGTGGTCCGCCTCCAAAATCGCCAGCCTGGTGGGAAGCGTCAACAGTCAGCGTCAACATCATGTCCTTGAACAAAGTTCTGGGACCCTTTGTCGACAATTTGGGCAAAAGACTTGAGGTTTGTACCAGCACCCTCCAGCAGGTCACCTGCGGCTTTTAAGTCAGCAAAAGCCCTCCCATTTCGGAGACCTGGCAGGTCTCGGTTGCTGGTAGAGAAACGACTTGTCTAGGCCAGCACCACCCAATTTGGGTCGTTTTTAAAAGAACCCCTCTTGATATTCTGGCTTCCCATCCCAAACCATGTATATATGGATTAGTTCCGTAAAGGTCATAAGTCATAAAGCTAGGGTGTAAATGACTTGGTAAACGGTAAGTGCATGTGATTCTTCCACATGGATAGTTTGGGTCTTGCATGACACAAAATAGACCACGTGCTCAGCGGTTTTCAACATCAATCTCTTGTAGCCTGACAGTTCTCCAAGGACCTCGCAGTTACAACTGCACACTTTGGCTGAAAACAGGACCACCACCAAAAGCCAATACCTGAAAACAAGAATCGGCGGCCTATCGCGTCGCGTGGTCGGAGAGGGTGAAAGCCCCGGCTATAGCGTGCCGATGCGGCCGTGATCGAAATGTAGTCTTCCATGCTGCAGACGTCACGCTGCAGACGTCACGCCACATCTTATTCCCAGACGCGACCCGTCTGGGACTGCCATAGTTCTGCCGCCCCATAAAGCCCCCTGGCACCACCCCAATGTAGGCATATGGCATATATACCATGGAGTGTCTGGGATTGTAGTTGTAGCACTTTGTAGCCAAGCAGAGCACCAGCGGCGGCGCAGGAGCAGCACGGCTTTCGATGGTCGTTGCCCGGCATCTCACGGCGCGACACGCGCGTCGCATGTCGCTTGATCCGCTGGCTGATCTTTTCGGGTACCAAACGGCGGCAGTCCGTCCCACGCCGCACGGCGCCGTTTTCAGCGTCTGCGCATGTCGCGGCTCCGCATGGGTGCGACGTCGTCGCGGACACCAGTCATGGAGTGCGTGGGCTGACCTCGAATTCACTCCCCACGACCTGTCTGGGACTATAGGACTGCCGCCACCTCCCTGGCGCCACCCCTGGCAATCAGCGACTGGTGCCACCCTCTGCTTGGCTTCGACCCACGCTGCCACCGCAAGGGAGTCACCGGAAATCACCGAAGGAACGGAGCTTTCGGGTCACGGGTCGCGTCTGGGAGGAGCCTGAAACCCACTCGATTCACGGGTCGCGTCTGCCGGACGTTGGAGGAAACCAGTGCCGCGCTCTCAGCGCGGACGGCCGCCAGCGTTTTGCTGGCCATCTCGTGGTTTCTGTGGACCACATGAGCCACACGACTGGCACTCTTTGCAATGAATGGACCGTTCTCGATGCCAAAAGTGGGATGCAAAGAACCCTTCTTTGGTCTATGGGATGGTCATCCCATGTCATCCCAGACACTAGACACATCTGCTCCTACCTGGACCCGACACCTGCCAGGTCACCACCTGGTCCACTTTTAAGTCTACAAAAGTCACCAAAACTCGGAGACCTGGCAGGGTTTCTGTGCTGGTAGAGATGGGCAGTTTGAAACTTTGCTCTGACTTCCTGCTAAGACCCAAGTTGCCGAACTTGCTACTTCGGAGAGGTGCCCACTGTTCATGATAGGAAAGGGAGCGACTCCGAACAAACCTTCGAAGAGTGTGACGGATCTTCGCCAGGAGCAGCCAGGAGCAGCCAGGACTCAATGGCTGCCGGGCCCACCATCGATTTGGTCGGAATCCACCACCGATACCAGCACCCGACTCGGTCTCCGAAATGGAGGGTTGGGAAAGGCCCGTGCACAGGTTTCAATGGGTGACCTGGCAGGTCTCGGGTGCAGACAAGCGGTTCTTACACCTCTTAACACGACGCGATCATGGCGCCAGGTGTTGATCCATTCTGATCGAACGGACTTCCAGGGCCTTTTTGGTACCACCCAGACTGCTCCAAACAGCCCTTGGTCCCTCAAAACCTAAGGAATTGAGACCCCAGACCCCTCCAGAGGATTCAGGTCCGACCCCTCCATATGAGAGCCCATGAGCGTCTGGGCACCCTAAGAATCCGTACGGGCTCTCGCAGGGGTCGGACCCGACACCTTCGCAGGGGTCCGGACCCTCAAAACCCTATGTGTTGGTTCTTCGGGCCCGGATTCTTAGGGCTGTGTAAGGTCCCATGTCCCTGCACTCTCAACCCTATAGGGATCCACTGCCACCTTCTCCTCAGGTTCGCTACTTTCCTGGCGGCGCCCTACATGTCTCAGTGTCGTGGCTGGAAAGAAACACACAACTCTCCACAGACCTGGGTGGCACTCAAACCCGGAATGTCGGATGCTCCATCGTCGTCCCGAACCCCAAGCACGGCACGGCAGCGACCCCCCGTGGCGCTCCCCTGACGCTCCCCGGGGCGCCGCACATGATGGGATCCGTCGTTGGCTGCCCGGGCGGCGGCAGCACCGCCGGCGGCAGGGGCACGAAGCGCCGTGGGGTGTAGGAGAGGTTCATCACCTGGATCGATCGGCGAAGGTGCAGAGCCAGGGCCCCAAAGAAAGGGCCGGGTTTCCAATACCCAGACCATCCATGGGACAATGGGACTGGCATAGTACATTGAGGTGGACTAGCACTACTATAGCTACAGTATAGTAGCTAGCACCGATTCTCCAGTCTTTCTGCAGCAGAGCTGCTACAGCTACCTGTTTGGGACACGACCTGTTTGAGACTGGCACGGACTCAAAGAAAAATGGCGTCGGACGGCCGTCTGCATGCTCACTTCAAACAAGACACCAACGGACTGCATCACGTCTCACGTCTCAACGGACCTGGACGGTCACTTGGTCTCAACGGACCTCTGTCGACTGTCCAATGACTCGTCGACACTAAAAGAAGAAGCTCATTCTCGCCAGTTCTTCTGCTCTTCGCATCTTTGAATGATCTATCTTCTACCACCCGGTCGACCTGCCAGGTCTCCGATGGCTGGAGGTCTTTTGAGTCGACTTATATCAGTCGTCGCAGGTAAGGGTGGTGACCTGGTGATCGTCCTATAGGGTGCTGGTAGCTCACCCATCAGGTCGCGAGACACCAACCCTTCGCCCGGAGCCGCCCGGAGACTCTGCAAACTCTGGGCGTCCAGGCCGTGTGGTTGAAGAGCTCACCGAGGCGCTCACACGCCAAGATGCCTCGTGCGGTTTCCCGTGGACATCACGCGAGTCGCGTCTGACAGGGTTGTGTGTAGTTTGGTTGCTTTTTGGAGGGGCGCGAACAACGGGGGTTGGGGTTAGCACCGGGGAGAGGGAGAAGAAAAGGGGGTCGGCTTGAGGAGGACTCGTCAACATGTCGTTAATTAAGATTTTAAGAGATCAAAAGGAACAAGTACGAGGGGAGTTTCATGTTCTGTTGAATTGAATGTTCCTACTTGAGGAGGAGGACATTGCCTGGAAGAGAATCATGGTTTGGTGTGTCATCCCCAACCAACCACATGCTCAATTACCCTTTTTACATCCTTTTTGTACCTCTTAGTTGATTCTTACTTCAATCCGAGCCAAGTCTTCATAATTTGCTTCACCAGCTAACTCATTCGACAGTTCCCCTCAATTGAGCCTTCACCTGGATCAATCATCCCGGTCTGAAGGGCGTCACCGGGTTCATGAGGCTAGTCCTATTAGTGGTCCCCTGTCAAGATAGAAGTTTGTAGATCCACACGTAGAAAATGTATTGGAAAATGCGTCCACCATTCATCTATTTGGGGAATTCACTAGTCTTGGTGAATAATGAGGATTTCTACATGAATCTTAATCTTGGCTTGATCTTGTTGTTTCATCAATGTTTTGCTTATCGGTGCAACAGATGTTTGCAAAATCAAGAGTGAAAGAGATATGCAATAATAATATCCATTTACACCCTTCAAATGTTTGGCGAAAGTGCCGCACTCATGAGTCCTCCAACTTTCTCAACGACCAAGCCTGGCTTTCACCACCACCACCACCACCACCTCCTCCTCCTCCTCCTTCTCCTCCTCCTCCTCTTTACGTACCAAGTCACGCAGCGTGTTGCCGGAGATGCCGACAAAACCTGCTTCGGAGCGCACGCGGAATTGGCACCCAGAGGAAGTCGCAACTCCAGTGCTTCACCATCTGACAGCCCCCAGCTTCGCTTCGTCCAACAAAACCCAGCTCCACCACTAGGAAATTGAACATCAATCAGGTGGGTGTGCCAGCCTGTGCCACAGGTAGATAGATCACCCAGTGGATCCCAGTTACCACTATATAAGGAACAAGGGATTCGTTCAGTCTATGGTTTTAGTCGAAGTGGAACCGGTTACCAGCTATCGTGGTTTGCCTGGATGCCCTGGGTCAGATTTCACTTCAGTTGACCAGATTTCACGGTCAAATTCAACGGTCGCCCCTGGAGTTCACGGTCGACCCACACCGAGTCTCCCAACCCCAGGGCCAGTCGCACCCGTCTCCGCCATCTCCCGGTCCCGGTCGGCTTCTAAGCAACATGAATTTGGCCAACATACTGAAGCACCGACCTAAGGATCTTACACCACTTGGGAAGAAAAACCTAAGCCGAAGCTGCTTGCTTCAGCTGGGGTGTCTTGAAAGCCTCGGCCGGGCGCGACGCCGTCTCTGAGCGCGACTGGGTCTCCTTCGGGACACTGCTCCGAGGCGAAGGAGGAGGTGTACTCCAACTGCTCGTAGCTCATGGGAGTGCCTCGGTGCCAGACCAACGCGGCACACGTTCCTGGCACACGAAGAGGTGTACAGGAAGAACCGGAAGAATGACGTATACCGTACATCACAGACACGACCCGCCTGGGGCTGCCAGTCCGGACTGCCGAGAAAAGGCCAGGGGTGGTGCCAGGGGGGGTCGACCTCTGGGGCAGCATATCTTCTAGTCCCATGGGTCGTGTATCCCAGACACTCCATGTATGCCATAGATGCCTACATTGACCCCCCTGGCACCACCCCAACTGATCGGTAAATATGCTCTACATGGAGTGTCTGGGAATGTCTGGGATATGTGTATCTCCGCCACGCTCACGCACAGACCTGCGCCGGACCTGCGCCACGAACGGTCCACGGACAGAGCTGCAGCGTCCCACATCGGTGGGCAGACTTGCAATGTCCGATGCCGTGGCCCGTGGCCGCCCATCCTTGTTGTAATAGCCCTGGTTCAATGGAGGACCAGATGACTGGGCCGCCGACCAGCACGCTTCACGGCAGTCAGGTGAGTCTTCCCAACGTGGATCACTGAAGGTGTCCATCCCAGACTCAGTGGTGCACATAAAGAGCTATTGCGCCTCAAAGAGCTACTCTAAGAGGCGCAATAGCTCTTCATGTGCACCACTGAGTCTGAGATGGACACCTTCAGCAGACACTGAGTCTTAATGGCATCCTGAACTGTCTCCACGACATAGATGGAGCCGCCAACACCAAATAAAGAACTGCAATTCCCAACGGCACCGCCACTCTTCAAGAGAAACTCTAGATGTTCTTGCAGTCCTTCGCAGATTTGGACGTCTTCCTCATGACCGTGCTTCCAGTGGTCGTGAACTCAGGATGGTGCTCACCAATGAGCTCACGACTCTCAAACACCGTGGCCCCGGCACCGTGGGTCACGGAGATCCAGGAGTTCGACCACCCCGAAACTCGGCCGTTTCTGAGGATTTCGTTCTTGCCAGTCCCGAAAAAGTGTCAGGGATAATTACCCTGACGCGACCTGTCTGGGACTACCATAGTTCTGCCGCACCGCAAAGACCCCCCTGGCACCACCCCTGGCCTGATCGTAATATGTGGCAGTCCCATGGAGCGCTCGATAGGAATCAATGGAAAGAATAGATATTTCATCTGCCTCTAGCTCGAAGTAGCCACGGTGAAAGCGAGCAGGTTAGTGAAGCTGTTTGAAGCTAAAGCGGCTATTGATGCTACCTCTCTGAAAAACATTGAAAAACAACATGTTCCCGCAGTCTTTCAGAAGCCACCTTCAATGATTCAAAAGGTGTTGGGCAAGTCTACAATAGAAACACCTTCCAAAAGTCATCCCAGGTCATGTAAACATGAAGATCGTCCACCCCCCAAAACCAGGGCTGCGTGGCCCAACGCCTAGAATCCAGGTGTCGACCACGCACCCAATTCGACCACGCACCCCACCCACCGATTCGCTCCAAGCCCTGCTCCCCAGAACTCTTCTCCCCTGCTCCCCGCTCGCGGCCGGCGGATTTCGCTGGGGTCGGCGTCCTTCTTTCGCGGGACGGTGAGAGACACGCGTGTTTGGAACGCGAAAAGGGGGCAGACTCCAACAGCAGTCACTGCCGAGGCCCACCTCCTTCCTTCCATCCATCCCAGAGACTCTCCGGCATTTTCATTCATCACCTGGGGGTCCCTGGCAGTGGTTCTTGCCCTGAAAGTTGTAGGACAACCAGGGCTTGGTGCTCAAGGCCAACATGGCAGGCCTGCCACTGGCGCATGGAGCGGCACACGGAGACCGTACCAATCCAGTCATACCCCAAACGCTTCATGTATGGAATATATGCCTACACCGGGTCAATGTAGGCATACATCACTGGAGTGATTTTGCTGGAACACCAGTCCCAAGCAGAAAGAAATGGATGGAACTGCTCCCCAGTCCCAACCATTTCCGTAAAGGATTTCAAGCTGGCGCCGGGTTCCAAGCATTTACCCTGGGAGTCAAAGACTATAAAAAGAAAGATCTTTAGGGGACCTTAAAGGGAACTTCCTTTACTTCAGCCGGTCAACATATATAGTCTTTGGACTTCTAGGGTACCAGCACCCTCCAACAGGTCTCCTCTGGTGGCTTTTGGAGACTTAAAAGTCGCAGGTGGTGACCTGTTGGAGGGTCCTGGTATATATTATATGGCACACATGGAGTGTCTGGGTCCTGTCAATTCGGAGACCGTTATAACTCAGGCGGTTCCACAGCCCTCCCATCACCGGACCTTAATACCACTCAGTCGGACGGTTTTCATGGTCGAAACGGAAGCCCTAGACTTCCGTGAAAGACCATTTAAAAAATGGTTCACCTGCCAGGACCCTCCAACAGGTCACCACCTGCGACTTTTAAGTCTCCAAAAGCCACCAGAGGAGACCTGTTGGAGGGTGCTGGTGGTTTTTTGTAGTGTAAAATCCTTAGTTGATTCCATAAAGCCTATTAAATTAATGGTGGGCCAGGAAGCCTAGGGGAAGGCTATCTTGGTGTCCCACTGCATCCACTCATATCTCACTCGACTCCCTTCGCAACAAACCAAAACACTCCCTCCACAACCCTCGCTCCCCCCGGTGGTTTCTCGTCGTTCTTCGGGGCTCCGCACATGCCCTGCACCGAGACCTGCAATTCTCGGCGCGTCCGGCACGTGGTCGTTCGGGTCGTTCTGGTCGTTGGTGAAGGGCCCAGACGCTCCGTTCACAGCTCGACTGGTCCAAAACCCTAGGGATTGGTTCGGGTCCGGGCCCCTACTGAACGGAGGGTCCAGGGTCGCGTCTGTTCCAGGGTGTTGGAGCTGGCGACCTTTTGGGGGGCGATGCCCGAAGTAGAACCGACGATATGACCGAGCTGAAGGTGTCAGGAGTTTCTCCACCGAACGTCTGATCGACCTTTCAGGGGATGTGTATATTGAAAGCCCCAAAAAGGGTAGGCCCTCCCAGGGTCTGACATTTTAGGATGATATCAAGGGTCACCAGCCCGGCCTGTGAATGGTGCAGCTAGGTGCATCACAACACCACTGATACCGGCGGAAATGCAGCGCATTTATCAAGTGGCATGGTCGACCGGCCACCTTCCAGGGGACGAAACGAAGGATAGGATGCGATGATTTGCGAGGTAGATCTCTCCCTCTTTAGCATCTAGGAGGGTGAGATGTTTCTGTTTTTTGCAGAGCTTCAGAACTCTTTCAACCACGCAAACCCAACCCCAGTCCCCGCCCAAAAAATCTCCAGGAGAGCTGTCAGACAGGGTCTCCGAAGTCGCGCACTGCAACCATTGGCTCTTCTCTTTCACACGTGCACCGCAATCACCCCAATCCAACCACGTCCATATTTGCCCAAGAACACTGATATCCCATGAAATCCCAGGCAGTTCCCACGAGTACGAAGGAACTGATTCGTTCGGTCTATGGTTTAGTCCAAGTGGAACCCCTGGTTACCAGCTATAGTGGTAACTGAATGCCCTGGGCCCTGGGTATATTAATTATGTTCATCTCTTTTTCACCCAACCCAACCCCCACAATGTGTCCACCACGTCCTCAAACCTCCCCCCCAAAAAAAGGACAAACACATACAAACACCACTTCTCAGCTCCCCCCCCAAAAAAATAACGAAACACCACACCTCTCGCCACAAAAGCCTTTGCCCAAAACCACCACCGCCGATCGCTCCCCGCGCACCCCGCGGGTCACGGCCTTGTGCAAGCGCACCGCCTTGGCGCCCAGGAACCGGGACCGCTGATCGCTCAGGGTGCCCGTGACCTCAGTGTCCGGAGCTTGGGCTGGGGGGGGGGCGAGGGCGACGGCGGGACGGCGCATCGGGGTCAGTGCGGACTGTGAGGAAAACACGTGGAGGTCGAACTGTGAGGCGTCGAACTTGTATTGCGTCGATCTGTACGAGACGTCTCGATCTAATCCTTGCCAACCCCGAAGAATCCTGGCCGTGGAAGGCCCTCTTTTTTCAAGAGGTGCATGTTGAGCCGAAACGCGCATGTTGAGCCGGGATGTCGGGCCTATGTACCTGAAGAGGGGCAGAAGAGCGATGAGAAACGCCAAGTTCCTCGAAATCCTCGATCATCTTTGGATTAAATGCCAGCAGTCACAAAGGGGTAGTGTTTAGTCCCTAAGTGAGTGGATAATGGGCACCCCTAACCTCCATTAAGCACCCCTTTGTGACTGCTGGTGTTTGGATTAAATGAAGAATTTTTGTGTGATCTCTATCAAAGGCCGGGAGCCGTGTGCAAAGCCGGACCCGTTCATATTCGTTCATGCATGGTAAAGCATTGACAAAGTCCAAAAAAAATAATCCCATACACTCCATGTATGGAATATGCCTACATTGACCCCCAAACCCACCCCAACTGATCGGCATATATTCCATACATGGAGCGTCTGGGAATTACAATACCATGCAAATACCATCGTCACCACCTGCCACGATCAAAAAAAAGTCGTCTCCATTTCTACCCGAACATCGGATCATCTCGTCTGGTGCAGACCTGGCGTCTGCGTACCATCCTCCGTCTGTCCCGTGCACGTCGTTGTTTCCTCGGTCCGTGCGTGTTTCCCTCCGCGTTCACGGAGAAGCAAGTGGCAAAGTCCACCACGGATCGGATCAGGATTCCACTGCCTCGCAGGACGACGAGTTGTGCGAAGAAAACGGCTGGAACCCATCCGCCCCAAAAGGCAGAAGAGGTGCACGTCTTTGGCGTGGATTAGAGCACGGGCCTTCCGAGCTCTTTAAACGTCTCAAATTGATGATCAGTTGGATAGGACGGCGCTGTAGATATCGGATCCCCAAAGGGGTGGTTAATGGACACCCCTTAACCTCTAAGGGGCTATTAATGGACACCCTTTCCGTGGTGCTGGTAGATATCGGATGTCCACCAGAATCTCCTTGCGCCGGCGACTCCACAGATCTGGGTTTTTTGTGGCTCGTGCAGCGGGGTCCACCCTCCCCAGCAGCGACCTTTGCGGATCAGATCTGAGTGTCCCCACTCAGGCCGATGCTCAAGAACAAGCTGTGCACGTCCTGCGGAGTGTGAAAACAGTAGATTCCCCAGACACGACCTGTCTGGGACTGCCAGTCCGTTCTGCTGCCCCAGAGGTCGACCCCCCGTTAAGCACCACCCCTGGCCGTGAAACTCGGCAGTCCGGACTGGCAGTCCCACGGGTCATGTCTGGGGTAGATCGTCCAAGTGTGCGTCTGCCGAACTTCATCTCAAGGCGCAATCCGAGGCATTGATTCCTACTTAGACTTAGGTGCTCAGAATCGTCGAACTCACTGCACTTCATAGGGCCTCTCTTTCACCAGCTTTCGCCCAAAAGTTAGCTGCCCAAGCGGCCGGCGCCGAGTTTTTGAGGAAGGTTCAAGTTCTCCATCCCCAACCATCAAATGAAAACCTCTTTCACTTTCATCAAAAAAGGCCCTACACTTCAACCATCTTCAACCCCTTTCAACAAGCACTCCCTGCTCCCTCCTTGGCACCAGAATGCAACGAATCTGATGCATTTTCTTGGCTCTTTTTCTCGCCCTTCCCAGGCACAATCTTCCCCCAGATGCGAGCCAACTTGGCACGTCACCCCGCCGAAACCGGTCGGGTTCGCGCCTCCGCCTGGCCCAAGTTCTTCATCTCCAGGAGACACACGCTCTCGGCCGGCGACTGCAAGGCCTGCCGGGGTGGCGACGCGCGCGGACCGACCGGACCGACCCGCCGGCCGCCAGGCGGACCCCGGTCGGAAAGGGGAGGAAGCCGCGCGTTCGCTTGGGCGCAAAAGGGCGCGAACGAAGACCGCTCTGCGACCGCCTCCCAAAAGGCCGAAGCTTTCAACCCCCCAAACTTCCAGGCATCGGCTCGTGGCGCGTGTGGCGCGCGTGGCGCGCGTGGCGCGTGTGGCGTGTTCGGGAAGTGGACGGAGTGGGTGCCCAGTGGGTGACCATGGCCCGTGGCCCATTGGGAGAGTCGAAAGTACGGATGCACTTGCGCCACATATTCCTGGATCTTCCAACTAGAGATGCCAAAGGTTCTGTCGAACCCGGCTGGTTGGATGAACATATGCAGAAATGAGGCCTAGTTGGAAGATCCAGGTATATACGCTATATACCTACCAGCACCCTCCAACAGGTCTCCTCTGGTGGCTTTTGGAGACTTAAAAGTCGCAGGTGGTGACCTGTTGGAGGGTCCTGGTATAAAGATACAAAGTGTGTCTTTGCGTAAAAAGGGCATCCCTGGCTGATGAAGTGAGCGCCAAGAGCTACAGAAGCGTCAATCCAATGGGGAAGCGTTGCAACTCACTGACAAGCCCTTGAAACGACCAAGTGGGGCATCTAAACAGCAACTGGCTTTCACATGAATAACACCCCGTCTCAGTTCATCAACAGTCAAGGTAAGGTGATTGATGAGGAACCCCTTCTCAAACTACGCCTCCCAAAAGATACGCCGCCCCACCTACGGCTCGTGAGGCGCCGCGAGCCACGCCTGCGCACTGAGCTGCTTCAGTGGTCGCTCCCGCTCCAAGGACAAGATTCGGATGGTGTTGTCCACACCTGGCGACATCGCCGACCGCCCCGCGCGAGCATGCGGAAGCTGTGGTCGAGCTGGCAGCTGTGCTTGGGGAAGGCGGGCGCCCGAGTTGGGTTGGTTTGAGGGTTCGAGTGGAAGAGGAAAGAGGTTGTGACCAAACAATCATATTTAATTTAGCGGATTTACTTATATGGTTTTACCATGTTTTACCCAAGGATTACAGCAAAACCAGCTCACGACACGTTCTTCAAATCTTCGAAAGGAAGGCTGCGAAACTTGGGAACCGGAAGTGTCACAGACAAAGCCGCCGAAGGCCCCAGATGGAGCGATTCGCCCTTCATGCCGGCGAAAAGAAGGGAGGGGTCATACAGAGCCAGGTCCTATACCAGGACCTTCCGACAGGTGGTTTTTGAACACCCCGAAGCACCTCTAGGGGCTATCAATAGACACCTCTTGGAAGTCCTGGTACCTACAGGTCTTCCAACTGTGCAAAGTGTCTGCCGAACTTCATCCATAGGACCAGACCAGACCGGAAGTTGGAGCATTTTCGGGGGTGGTTGGTGGTCCAATGTATATTGGTCAGACTCAGGTTCCGGGAACCATGGTAGATGTTGCTCTTAGGAAATCAATTACGTAGACTCTGGGACAAGCTTCTTCTATAGCTCTGGAACAAGGGAATCGTTCGAAGGAGTCGACACGATCACAGGATCAAAACTCTTGCGGAAAAAAGACCAAGTCTCCACAGGCATTCAAATCACCTCCCTTCAAGTGCATGGTATTTAAATGTATTTAAAAAGAATTCTGCTTCAAAATAACGCGAACTGGTCGCACCTGGAATTTGATTGACTGGCATGTCTGGCTCCAAAAAGGAAAGAAGCACCTTCTTTGTGCTTGAACTGCACGGCACATCCGAGCAACGTCACATGCACTTGGTCTCCGATTTCTCTGACCAACGCTGCCGTCCGCTGTTTCTCTGGCTCCGTCTCAGACGGAGCTCCGACCCCCGAAGCTCTCGGGGTCACGCCGCTACGGGCGTGGTAAAGAACGTGCGCTGTGGCGAAAGTATTCGTGAAGTTCAGATGTACTCCAAGGAAACATCCATCTTTGGAATTGCATTGGATTTGTTGGTAGAATCGAAAAAGAGGGGCCCCCTCCTGATTGTCGAAAGACGAAGGTGCGGTGGTCGGGCAGCGCCAGGACAGTAAACGGAAGACCCTCTGGAAGAGTCCAGTGGGTTCTGGTCTGACGACGGGAGACCTGACTTCAGTCGCTCAAAAGATCGCCGTACCGAGGTGGAGAGTGACCAGGTCACGAGTCGGACCCGGAAAACCAGGGGTACCGAACTAGGATACTCTATAAAATTATTCAACCTCTTTTAATATATCACTTCACAAGTGTTTTTTCTTGGACTTGTAGGGTACAAGTCATCCACTTCCATATAAAGGGAACCACCCCAGCAGAACGAGCGAAGCATAGCCAAAAACCCTGCGTTTCGACCCATCTTCCACAACATCGAAGCTTCGCCACTTGAACCACAGCCCACGACAATTAAAACAAAACCACGGTCGCAACTTGACCCCCCTTGTTGGGAAGCACATGCGTGTTGCATCCGTGCCACTCCTCTTCCACCAGTGGGAGAGCTGCTCATGACCTATGCCAGAGCAAAAAAAAAGAGGAAACTTCAGAAGCTCTCTCCGAGAGAGGGTCAAAATAGCTGTGCCAGCTATGTTTAAAGGTCTTCTAGTCTCTTCTAGTCCTCATTGTTGACTAGGATCCCCATGTTTCACCCCAGCTGACTATGGCATTTGTGTCCATCCACTCCTATCTCGGAATGCATCCGAACCCATTGCTCCTCTGCTTCGACCCTCGATCCGTCCATCCTCCGCGCTCAGTGGATGCCCAATTGGCGTCTCAAACGCTGCAGCGCGCTGTCGTCCGGGTTCGGCAACTGCACGTCCTCGGAGCTGTGATCGACTTCGGAACCACCACCACCGGCACCGTCTCGCTGTGTGATCATGGTAAACACCAAAAAGGCGGGGAAAGGCGGGGAAACACCCAAGAACAGGGGGAGGCGCCGATGATTTCGGCCATGAAGTTCAGTGAAGAAAACATGTTTCTGGAGCAGCAAATGGGAAGTCAAGGAACTTCCTGAAGTCGAGTCACCGAACTCAGTCAGACCATGTTTTGAAATACAGTGGCCATCCTGGACCGGTGTGAAAGCCTCAGACCCGAGCTGAAGAAGATATGTTGGGCGCTATCCGAAACGTTTTTTCCAAAGAAACATCACCCTGTCGACTTCCGTTCGACCATTAAAAAAAGAAAGTGTGTTCACTGGTGTTTGTAGTGTAAAATCCGTAGTTGTTCGGTAGTTGGCCTATGAATTTAATAGGTTGGAAGTCTAGGGATCGACCGAAGTGCGGCAAGTGCGCTTCTGTGCGGGGGCGACACTCCGAAGAAAAATGGGAACCTCCACGGCTAAACTCTCTTTCCCCTTTGGCCTCCGTTTTCGTACCGAAGCCGGGTCGGTTCGGTGGGACGACCGGTGGCCCGGGTGCCATGTTCCGTCGGGTCCAGGAGCTACTGAACCGGGTCAGAGGAACGAGCTACGGAGGTGTAGAGTTTCTGATTCGTTTTCCCACGGTTGCGTGAATTGTTGGTGCTGCCGACAGACTTTCAAGGTCTTTTCGGTCTTTTCAAGCTGAAGCTTCTTTGTCACGGTATGAGATAGCTTCGGATACCCCTGGGATACTCTGTTTCGCTCCAGGTGTTGGGTGGCTGACAGCAGCTTACGCGCAGCTTACCCTGAACTTTCATGTTGACTCATTTTACCCCACCGTCATAATCCACCACGACCGGGTAAAATGTGCCAAACTTGAAGTCTCAGGGTCTCAGGGTTTAAGCACTTACTGCCCTTCGCAAAATACTCTCCAAGTGGCGAGTTGTGCGTCATGCTGGAGGACAAAACCATAAGTGCAAGCAAAAAAGCAACGAAAAGGGGAAGAATTGGGATGCTTCCCGCTCCAAAAACAAGCACCCTCTGTCTTCCAGCTCCATGTCCCCACGCCACGCCCAAGCTCGCCCGAGCGACGCTGGAGGCGAAGCCATTGAAGTGCGGTCGCTGTGCCTGTGCCAACAGCTGAGGCTTGCTGTCCCACCTGCCGCGCTCTCGGGGCGACCCGGGCCACGCCGAACTCGCGGCGACTTGGCGCGCGCCGGACTCGTGCCTGCGCCACGTCGTGCGTGACACGGGCCGTAAGACTTACCGACTTTGCTGCGTTCCAGGTGGGCTTTGTTCATGGGAAATCCTGGGAACCCTGAAAGACAACCAAACGCATGACCAGGGCTGAGGTTTTTCACAGCCCGTCTTGTCGCCCATCCTGTACCACAGACCTGGGTCCGAACGTTCTGGCCTCTCAACCTCTCTTGGGAAACAATTGTTTGTTCCAAATATGGCCATTGAGATCCTTTACATAGGCTGTATGGGGGGGATACATCCGTATTTCATTTCTGGTCGGGACTGGATTTCCATGGTGTATAATGTCTTTTAAACCTAAACTCTCTTCAACTTTCTCCGGCCCCAACCCTCAAAGTGTTCAAAAACATACAGGACTCATCGACCGGCCTCCACGGCTCAACGACCTGGTGCCCCTGCGCCGAGAACATTTGACGCGGACGACTTCCACCTGGGCGCTTCACCCCCGTGGTGGGGCTCCGCAGGGGTCGGCGTCGTTTCGGTCTGCCCGGGGTCACATGGAGTTGGGTTGTGTGGCTCGTCCCATCCAGTGAGTGGAGCAGCTGGGCACCCCGACTACCTCCAAGTTCGGCACCCCGTCTTGTGACTCCTGGTGCCTTGATATGCCTTGATCTTGCAAAGCTGGTGGAAAAAGGTCCTTGCTGATCCAAAAGAAACTCCGTTCGCGGGTGTCGATCTGTTCAGTTCGCCTGGTTCTTAGAGTTGTAAGAACGTCCTGTGTCACCACCGGGCGAAGAGTGTCGGGTCCTGTTTCAAACATCCTGTTTCGTTGATTGAAGAGGACTGACTTGCACGTGACAGATCACTTCCAGCACCACGGATTCCGGGTGTCCATTCATAGCCCCTAAGCTTAGAGGTGATGAAAGGGTGTCCATTAACCACCCCGAAATGGGAGTCCTGGTCAGAAACGTTCATGGTAACTGTGGACTTGCACTTGTTCAACCCGCACCTCCTCACCCTTCCAAACATCAATAGATGGACATCTGCACCCCCTGGTGTGCACTGCGAGATCAGGTCATGTCATGTCATGTCCGCCTTCCCGACCTCTCGGGGCGTTTCTGTGTCTGTGTGTCCTTCAAAGGGCTGCCGCAAGGGCTGCCGGACGTCATACCATCTACCCATCATCCATGCGATTGGACACGTCAGACGGATGGACCAAAAAGGAAACCGGCTTTCTATCCAACACCAGACGTCACCACTTCGTCTCCAAACCTTTGTCCCCAGACCGGTCACCGGGTCGATGGATGGATTCAGGTCATTCGTTCCGCTGATCCGGTCGATGGTCGTTCCGCTGCGTAGGAGAGAAGGTCTGTTTGCCAAATAGAAGGCCAAAGGCAGTCATGTCAATCATCGAACGCTTCGGAATAAAGCTTCCCAGCCACTCGGCAAGAGTCCCTTCTTGACCTTTCTCTTCATGGTCGCCTCGCGGGGCTCGCTGCGGGGCGCCCTTGTCGCCCGGCAGCCCCGGAAGAGCTGAAGACGCTCAAGACGTGGAAAAAAAAACATTCCTTTGAGCTGCTTCCAACCAACCGAAGTAGCTGCCCCATTCCCTGCCCCATTCCCGGTGCGGTGCGTCCGGTGCTTTAGAACAGTCACCATCACCGAACCCGAAAAAAAAAAAAAAAAAAACTCCGGTACCGGTCGACCAAATCAAAAGAAACCTTAGATCACAAACAGGGGGTGTTTGGTTCCATTTCAGTGAGTGGATAATGGGTATACCCTAGACTTCCAAGGCCACTAAAAAAATGGTTGACCTGGTTTTTGTAGTGTAAAATCCTTAGTTGATTCCATAAAGCCTATTAAATTTATGGTTGTTGGAAGCTGGATCTTCCAACCGTGAAAACCGTTCTGCCCTTTTCATCCACAAAAATCCTTCGTTCGGCCGAGTTCAGCGCATGTCGTTGGTTTCGATCGGGACTCGGGGGGTCTGGGCACTTGGGACCATCCTGCGATCAAATGACACGGATGCCCGTCATGATACATGGCACCTTATTAAGTCTGTTTTTTAAAGAACGAAAGAAGCAATTAGCAATTGGAACCATGAACATATAATATATGAACCTGTAACATACGTGTCGCGTCTCATCTGCGTCTCGCTCGTTCCTGGCACATCAGGTTCCCCCAGACGACATCGGCGTGTCGCTTTCTCCGCGCGGTGAACTTCTGCAATAGCAACTCCGAAAGCTTCGAACAAGAACACTTGCAATAGCAGTAGCATGACCCAGACACTCCATGTATGCCATATTTGCCTACATTGGGATGGTTTGGGGGGTCAATGTAGGCATATATGGCATACATGGAGTGTCTGGGTGATGGCAAATACAGCACCCTCCCTGCCAGGTCTCCGAAATGGAGGTTCCTTCTTCTAGACAGCTCCAGTCACTAGGTCACTGCTCCCGTCCACAGCATCAGACGGCAGCTTCGCATCAGACCACGCGCCTCGTGGGCGCTGCGCATGGTCGGCTTGGGCACGAGGAGCAGCTCATGGCCATCCTGGATGTCCAGCTCCTGTGCCCCGGGAGATCTCGGTGGACGTCTACGGCCGACGTCGGCACCGGTGTTCTGCGGAGAACAAAAGGAGAGGATTGGTCCAGAAAAAGAAAATCTATACCCTGGAAGTCAAGTCGACCATTTTAAAAATGGTTGATCTGGTTTTGTAGTGTAAAACCCTTAGTGAAACAATGGTTGTTCCTTAAAGGCTATTAAAACAATGGTGGTTCGACTTCTAGGGTATATTGCTATATGAGTCACCTGGCACTGGGTACCCCATCTTTGACAAGAATGGAGTTGTGGGTTGTGGACTACCCTACGCTACGGAAAAAAAGAATGTCTGCCTTTTGTCTGGGGCAAATGGATGATAAGGCAGAAAATGTGGCATAATTTCTTGGAAGATCCAGGTATGTATATCCGATATCCCACTCTAATATCCCATGATATTATCCACTACCAGGACCGACACCGTTTGAGGTGTCTATAAATAGGCTCTTAGTGGTGATGACCGGGGTGCCCAAAAACCACCGGACTTGGTGTCGGTCCTGGTAGAAGTCAGTTTGACCTCAAAGACCCCAGATGCTCCATGAAACAGGAGGGTGGTGGTGCCAGGCGGGTCGACCTTTGGGGCGGCAGTCCTATGGCAGTCCCATGGAGCGTCTGGGTGGAGATGGTCATACAAAACCGATACGGAATAAGAGGTAAAAGACCAGGTTTGGACCTGCAGTCAAACTGGACAGACTTGTAGGGTAGGGTTTTCACAAACCCTCGACATGTTTTAGACTCACGTGGACCCTGAAGTCAGGAACCACCGCACATGCGACGCCGGGGGGTTGGGGCCAGGAAGGTCTTTCTCAAACGCCACCCCATCCGTGGACTCCTTGAGCGTGCCATTCGGCAAGATGTGCTTCTGGTGAATCCTCAGCCACGACTCTGATGCAACGAACTCGGAAGACCGCGATGTCTGCCACGATGTCCGCCATGCGCGACCTCCTGTTCGGTGTTTGGGGTTCAGGTGAGAGATTGCGGAAGATGCTGCGACCAGGAGAAGTGGTTGGGGGCTCAGAAACTGCTGCAGGAGCACGTGAAGTAGAAACTGCACTGGGAACATGAAGCCAAAAAAGATTGACAACTCAACTCATAGCACTGCTGTGGGAACGGAGGAATCCAAAAATCGTCACCCGGAACTCGCGTGGAACTTGCTTCTGCACTTTAGCGTGGTTTGTTTTCTGAGGCGACCAAGCAAAGAGGGGTGCAGAGCGCTACCAAAAACAAGATGTTTATGAAGTAAAAATAAGTTTAAAGAAAAACACGGATTCCGGGTGTCCAGTAATTGTCGCCCCGAAAAGAGGTGATGTATTCGGGGTGTCCATGAAAACCACCCCGAAATGGAACTCCTGGGATGAGGAGTATCTTCTTTGAAGATCTTTGAACCGACTATCCCTCCGCCATATTTCGCGGCTGACCGAATGAAGGCGATCGAATGAAAACGTTCAGCGGCAGGAATGAATCAACGTCCAGCTTGTTGGAGGGCGAACGCCCCAACCTGGTTCAGTCGACCGGTCCACACCTGGTCCTGGTCCGCTGTCAGAGTCGTGTTGTTGGGGTAGGACCAACTACTACGAATCCCCCTTCTTCAGCGCGAAGTCCCTTCCCCAAGCCGCCCGGTCGCCCCCTTTCTTCGGCCAGGCATCAGCCGTTGATGCGCCATGGGTATCGCCGTCAGCGACTCAATCCTCGGCTTGGCTCGCTCCACGGCGACGAGATCTCGGGCCGATCCGGGGGAAAAATGTCCGCCGCTGATGTATAGTCAGGGAATCTAGACCCTGACGTTCCAAAATCCCTAGGCTTCCAACCACCATTAATTTAAGAGGCTTTACCGAATCAACTAAGGATTTTTTTAACACTACAAAAACCAGGTCAACCATTTTTTAAATGGTCTTGGAAGCCTAGGGAAATTGTTCAACATAACCTCCAGCAGGTCACACGTCACTGTGTGGTTGGCTTCATCGAACGACAGGGTGACCGTGGGCGCTGTCGGGTGACAGGGGCATCCCAACGTCCTCCTCGTGGATTCTCCCGGTCGCCCATGGCCACGCTGCATGGCAAGAACCAGAGAAAAGGACACGAACCCAAGTGAAGATCTGTGTCCACATCAAACCAAGGGGCCTCCCCACCCACTACTTGACAACTGTGAGATTTAAACAAGTCCCGCTAGTCATATATCCATCCGTCCTCGGTCCTGAGGTCATGGTGCTTCATGCTTCGTGACCGGTCATGTCTCCCCCTTCTGTAGATGTATAAACCAAACAGTGCAACCCTAGGTCACTCACCATGCATCGGTGCAACTATAGACCCCACCCTCCCCGTCCTCCCAACTTCGAAGAGTTCAACGCCCGACTCCATCCATTCGTCGTCCTTCGCCCGCCGAGGAGCCATGCCTTCAACGACTTCGGCTCCTCCTCCGGGAGCTCGCTGCCGTGCCTCGCTCGCTGTTCACGGCGCCTGGGGAGGGAAGGCCGAACTGGACCCTTGACCCGCGAAGGTCGCGCAGTCGGACCCGAAGCTATGGAGGTCAGGGCTCAGAGGGTCAGACCCATCCTCGGTGTATGGGTGTCCAATCCCGGTTTGGTGAGGTCGGACCGGGCTGTGAACTCGCGTCTGGCGAGGTCGATTCCCATCCCTCGAAGTTCAAGCAAAAACCGACCAGCACCGACTCTACAGGTCATGCTGCGAATTGGAAGTCTGCATTTCAGCTATCAGCCGAACATCGCAGACCTGGCTGACTGGACGGGTGCTGGCTGACTAGACCTTCCGAACCTAGGTCGCCCGGTCCGTGTACCCGGGAGAAAAGCCAGGTCTCCGATGGCTGGAGGGTTGGGAAGGGCCCCGACGTCCTGGTGGAAGGTCCTGGTAATTATAGTGGTTTCTGGGCACCAAACTTGCCACCCACTAGGAACCAAGAGAGGTTGAGAGACCGCTTCACGTTCGGACCCCATAGTGGTGCATATGGGATGGGCGACCTACTAGGGCTCTTCAACCTCTCTAGGAACTTCACGGAGCTGGACTAGGAGTCTATATACCCTAGAAGTCCAGGAACCGACGATATTTGGATCTGGCTGGAGGTTTCAGGAAGTTCCCGGACTCAGTTTCCCGAACTCGTCAGACCATTCTTTTTAGAGTCGACTGGACTTCTATAGGGTATATAGATCATGGGTCTAGGACTAGGTCTATAGGTCGCCCGGTCGTGGCTGTTGCGATGTGCCCGCCTTCACGGCTTCCGCCGCCACAAATGCCCCGTCGGCCGGTCGCTCGGAAGAAAGGGATCCCTCAGACCCGACTCAGACGCCAGGTCATCACCTGGATACTTTTAAAGTCTTCATTTCAGCTACCAAACATCGGAGACCTGGCTCGACCGGGTGCTGATACAGGTCGAAGATCGGTCAAGGACCTCATTCTCAGACACACACACACTCTCTCTCTCTCTCTCTCCTCTCTCTCCTCTCAGCTGCTTTTCTGAGCTCCTGTGGAAATCGATACTCACTCCCAGGCCTTCACGAAACACGTGGACCTCGGCCTCAAACCCTTTTGGGTGAACCGGGACCCCTGGTCCGATGCTCCGATAGAGCTATCGCGCTTCTCCCGTTTCAACCGGGATGGTCCGAGGGTCCAGGACCCGGCGCAGCGTACCGAGCACGGGTTCGTCCAGTTGTCTCTTGGTTTCCATGGTCTGATGGTCCGAGTTGATTGCATCTACCAGCACCTTCAAAGGGGTCACCAACAGAAGCCCCTACACTGCTAAGGGACCTCCAGCCAGGACACCCCTTTAAGGTCCAGGTAGGTACTTCTCTTGCTTGTACTGGACCAGTCTTTTTGGGAATCAGAGCGATATGAGTGTGTTTGGAACTAGAGTGCCTTTGTCAACCCCAGGGAAGAAGGGGAATAGACTTGACTGGCTGGGAGTCTCTCCATTTAAGGTATATACACAGTACACGACCCATATATGCTTGTAAATACTAAGAACATCCTTCCTTCCCGTCCATCAAGCCAAGATCAACCCTCAAGAAAGCTTACCCCTTCAAACGGAACCTCTCCACCCGAAACCAGCTATTCACCCAACTCCAATCTCGTCAGCCCAGCCAGACCCAGGGTCGACCATCCTGGAAACGTCACCAAACTTTCACATCAAGTAACCCCACCAACCGCTCCAGGGCCAAGCTCGCCCGCCGCCGCGGCCGCCACGTCGCGTTCGGCGCGGCCCTCGGCGGGTCGGCGGAGCTCAGCGCCAACCCATCGGTGCTCAACGGCAGATCCTCGCGCGCGCGGAGGAGGAGATGTTCACGGCCCAGGCGCAAGCGGAGGCCTCGGCCGTGCGCACGGGGGTCGTTGGATGGCGCACAGGCAGGCAGTTTGCTCGGGCTCCAGTTGGTGGGCTCCAAAACATGTGGGCTGTTGCCCTTCACCCGCTATGAACTGGGCAAGAACAAAGCCCACCCAAAATACACGCAAAACCCACGAGGACGAACGTCTTGAACCAAACCCAGCAGGAACTACAGCAAGCATTGCCATCCTTTGCACGTCCGGTGGCGCAACGTCCGTGGCGTCGTTTTCTCCGCAGCGCCGGGTGTGACGGGGATGGTGCGGCCAGCCGTGTGTAGCTCAGGCAGCTCAGGCAGCTCTGCCTGAAGGTGTCGGATCCTCAGCGTTGTCGCGTTCGACAGCGGTGGCAGCTTGGAAGGTTGGCAGCTTTGGGCACCAAGAGAGGTTTTTCACAGCCTGAAAACGCCCATCTCATACGTACCACAGACCAGGGTCCGAACGTGAAGCGGTCTCTCAACCTCTATTGGCAGTTGGGTCGAACTTCGAGGCACGAAGCCCAGACGCTACTTCGACCTTTCCCTCCCAGTGCCAAACCCAACCGGGGATGGGCTTTCGCAGGTGACCCCTGACCAGTGCGGATGTGGTACGGCCCCGGACCTCGGGGCCGGTCACGGGTCGCGTCGGTACGTGAGTTACTGTCCAGGTGATGGGGGGGGCGTTGGTCATCCGGGAAAATAGAAACCATCCACTGATCTTCAGACAGGACAACCCGAAAGGAAGGTCGAGGTATACAAAGTGTCACCATTGACTGCTGTATTCAAGCTGTCCAAACCCTCAATTAGCTGACGATCTGCGAGGGCTGTAATGGACACCCCTTACAGTCCTCTTCCCCTCCACTCAAAAAGTGTAAATACAAACCCTGGGAGTCCAGTCGACTATAAAAAGAATGGTCTGACTAGGGGAACTGAAAGGGAACTTCCTGAAACCTCCAGCCAGTCAAAATATAGTCGAACTGGACTTCTAGGGCAAATTTCTTTGGCGCCCAGCCCTTTCGTTCACACCTTCGTTCACGACCTTTGGATGACACCGCGTTTAACCTGTGAAAACGGCCGATCCGGCGGCTTTGTGGTCAGAGAGTGGGTCTGTCAGACACGTCGTGCCGAAGCTCTGGCACCCACAAGACACAACAGCTTCCGATTAAAAAAGAAGGACCAAATAGCCCATGTCCAAGCAGTTCCATGTCGGAAATGGCTAGCCGTTCATCTCCTCCAAACCTTGGATGTGAGATGAACGGCACCTGTCCTCCGGTCCTCCGGACACCGGTTTCACCAGCCGACCATGGAGCAATGCGCAGGTCTGCCCCCCCCAGCATCGATGCGGACAGGTCGTCCACATACGATCCATCCGAGTGGCAAGAGTTCCACATCCTCATCCTTGACGGCCCACTTTTTCTCCTGGGGCGAAATCGGCCCAAACCAACAGTCCCGTCCCAAACAGGGACGGAGAAGGCCCGGCACGAAAGGCCCACGCCTGCGAGGCCCCAAAGGCGGCCGCGGTGGACGACGCTCTCTTTTTCGGAAAGGCCCGTGAAGGCACGTCCGGGACGCAGGGCGTGCAGTGGGACCACAGAGTGGATCCGCGGTTGACCCAAATCGAATTTGACGTCCTGACCATTTGAGGACGTCCCTGTGCCAGACGTTTTGGATGTCTTACACCTGTTCGAAGAACCATTCCGGGTGGAAACTGCACCGGCAGGCCACGGCATTCCTCCGCGGCATTCCTCATTCTCCCTGTAAAGTCGAAGCACCATTGATTTAATAGCCTGAATCCCGAACAACCGTGTTTTACACTACAAAACCGGATCAAGCATTCAAAAAAGATCTGACCGTCGACTAAACCGGGGATTCCCAGAATGGGACATCGAGCGCAGACCCAATCATCGATCGAATTGTCGGGCAGGGATGGCGGCATCCCGACCAGCTCAAGCCTTGAGGATGTCCCGAGAAGCGCCTTTGGTCGGTCGTGGACGTCTTTCACCCGGCCGAGCGTCCTGGCCAAACCAAACCCTGCAGAGCTGCAGAGCTGCTTTTTCTGCAGTCTGCAGTCGAAGCATCGCCACCGAAACAGCTTAGCAAATCCGAGTACTGGACATCACACGGTGACACTGTCATCGGACGGCCCAAAACCATGCACCGTTTAAGAGTGAGCCCGTTGATGCGAGTCACCCGAACTGTCTGGAGGGCTCTGGAGTTGAAGCAATCCAACCACCAATCCCTCGTCGGAAGAGGCACCAGGAAAAGGCGGCTTTTTTTTGGCATGGGTGGGCGGACCGATTTTTGACGTGTAGTTCACGGACACTTGCAAGTCCTGCACCTTCTGCACGCTCTGGCATGAGCTGGCTCTACATCGACTTCACCGAGTTCATACACGAAAGCTGCGAATGGATTCGCGGAGATCAGCGTTTGGAAGACGAGTGGGGGCAAATAAAGTGAAGAGATCATGCCATGAAGATTCAGTTGACTCCAACAAGGGAATCGTGCATTGTCCCCAGCCATTCTCCCACAAGCAACAGCTCTGCCATCACTTCGGAGTAGCACTGTATGGTGCAATCCTGCAGAAATCCGGGTGTAGGACAGTCTTTCATCCAACGCTGGAATATTGCATTGTCCGCAAAGTTGTCCTCCACAAGCAACTGCCTTTCCATCACTTCGCAGAAACACTGTATGAGTCTCTCCTGCGGAAATCTGGGTGTAGGATATTCCTTCATCTAACGCTGGAATGTTGCATTGTCCAAACCTATTTCCTCCGCAAGCAACAGTTCTGCCATCGCTTTGGAGAAGCACTGTATGGACCCCTCCGGCATTCAAAGCTGGAATGTCACATTGGCCCAAGTCATTGACCCCAGAAGCAACAGCGCGGCCATCACTTCGGAGAAGTACTGTGTGGTTCGATGCTGCAGCCTGTGTGTAGGTAATTCCCTCCTCCAAGGGTGGAATGGCGCATTCTCCTGTTGCTCCACCAACAAAAGCGCTTCCATCGCCTCGGATCAGCACTGTACGAAGCCTTTCTGGGGATTTTCTTCAGGAACTGGGAAAAAAATGGACCCTCCTAAGTAGGGGTCCGGACCCGAACCAATCCCTAGGGTTTGGTTCGGGACCAAGAGCTGTGAACGGAGTTTCTGGGTGGGGAAAAAACATATTGAAGTTCCCAAACCAACTCGCGATCGATCCACGTTCGCACCTCAGGGTCCTTCCTAAGCGGGGTACCCGGGTTCGGGAGTCTATGTACCAAACAATCCCAAAAATATTGAAGTTTTTCAACCTGGACCCTCCGAGGGGTGTCCAATGGACTACCCCACACTACCTATAGGCTTCCATTGGGCACCCCTTAGAGGGTCCTGGAAAAGGGATTTAGGGAAATAAAAAACCGGTTAAGGAAAACCATGCTTCCTGCAGAGCCTTGGGCGTAGTGCATGTCCGTATCCGATGCTGGAATATTGCATTGTTCTGCATGCTCTGGATCTTCTCCTCCGCAAGCAACAGCGCTTCCGTCACTTCGGATCAGCATGGTGTGAGACCTTCCTGCAGAGACTTGAGTGTAGCGAAGTCTGATACTTCAAAGCTGGAACACTGCGTTGGTACTGATTTCTGCCACAATCGACTGCCTTGCCTTGCTGTCATTCTCTTTTTGAGAAACGCTCACAAGGAATGAAGCCGCCACAGCCATGGACCGCACTCTGGCAATCGAGGCGTCTTACCTCGACTCTCCGAGTTCTTTCGCCCCATCCAAGCTGGGCGTGAGCATGAATGACTCCGTAAGGCCCTAAATTCTTGAAAGCCCAAAGGTCTGCATGAAGCGCAAAGAGCAGCAAGTTCCGTCTGGGAAGGTCCGTGCCGACTCGCCGGGGCTGCTGTTTCAGCTGTCCCAAGTTGTTTCGTTGGAAGGGCCCACCTAGATGCCCATTCTCCACTCACGGTCCTAGATGCCACAGCAACTCCACGGAACGGAACTGGTGGCGATGGAAAGCGGCCGCCACCACAACTGCTGCTGCTGCTCCTACTCTTAGTCCAACAACAACAACGACGACAACAACAACAACCATACTCACTATACTCATTATACTAACTACTATCTACTATCTACTATCTACAATCTACGATCGTCTACTAGTACTACTACTACTACTACTACTACTACTACTACTACTACTACTACTACTACTACTACTACTAC